CATGTCCATATCTACCCTTTCCCACCCCGTTAAGGTATTAAACGCGGAATAGTATCGTTGCTTATTGCATGCTATTACCCGTCCCGATCCTATCAGTCTCGGAGGCATTTAGGACTACTAGTCCTAAAGGGAGGGAGGTTGGGGCTTTTTAGAGTTTTAAAAGGACAAAATTCTAATGCGACAAACAAAACACATAAGCAAGTAGGGGAAACAAATAGCAGTTTAAGGGCTCAAATAGGCCTCCTCACGTAAAGGAGCAAATTATTTAGCATGTCTTCAAATACTGGTTATAGTCTAAATTAAATTTAAAGCGTTAGGACATGCTGCTTCATCACATATTTCTCAGATGAGGAGTCCGAATTAGGCCTTGTCTGGTTGCAGTTTATTAAAACTGACACAATTAAACAATTACCTACTGCTTACCTAGGTGGAAGTATACTGATTTTAAAAAAGGGTTACTGATTTTAGAACCAATTAAATTCTGCAAATATTAAACAAACATTACTACTGATTTTAGACTTGTAGATAAAATAGACGAATCAGATTCAGACGGTTGCTCCTATAGGCATGATTTCTAAGCGTTATTGATTTTAAAACGATTATATAAGTGCAGGAGCCCTATAGGCATGGTATCTAGAATGAAGTTGATTATTATTAAACCTATGATTGTTTGCCTAACGACAGATGAATATGCAGAAATGCAGAAACAAAACTATAGTCATGATTTCTATATGGAGAAACTTATAGGCATGGTTTCTAATGCAGTAATGAAACAACTTATAGGCAAGATTTCTACGTGTAATGCATAATTTATAGGCAGGATTTCTAAATGCATAAGTGCAGAAACTTATACATGATTTCTATATGCAGAAACTTATAGGCATGGTTTCTAATGCAGTAATGAAACAACTTAGAGGCAAGATTTCTACGTGTAATGCACAACTTATAGGCAGGGGTACTATATGATATGAATAAATACAAAATTTGTAAATAGTAATCCCTATGAGCATGTTGTCTACCCATATACATACATAAATGACCCTCCCCTTTTTCACTAGAACCCCATAATTATGACAAATTATCACAGACCCGAATGAATTTTAAAAAAAAAGTACATCAGAACTTCCAGCTGCAACCAAACAGCCTAATTCAGACTCAAGGTCTAGCAATATGAGATAAACCAACTTCCAGGATCCGTTTTCCAAAAGCCTTTCTCTTATTTGGGATGTATCAAAGTTCTCAAGAGTCTCAAAGGGACTCAGGGCAGTGCTTACACCCCAAACACATTGCAGAATTAGATTATAGTGCAGTGTGGAAGAGTCAGCCCTCAAATGTCCAAGTTCAGAGGGAACTCAGGGTCCCAAAGCATGGCTCATAAGAGGGGGACAGAACTTAGAATATAAGATTAAGTGTATTGCATAGAGGGGAATTAGGGAACGTCATGGCAGGCTGGTGGTCGTGCCCAGAAATTTAAGAGTGCTGGCATACCCCTAACCAGCCTGTCAGCCAAAATTGGGAGTTAGGATCCATTGAGGATCAGGTTTGGACCTGGGCAGTAATTTAGATACTGCCAGGCCATGAACCTTAACTCAAACACATAGAAGGGAATAGGGGTAGGGATTTATAACAGAAAATAGATGCAAGAAAAGAACACACATAGTTAACATTAATCATGACAACAAAGTAAACAGGATTGCAGAAAACTGTAAATAAACACATAGGGGTGAGGCAGGAAAGCTAAATTAGAACATACCAGTTTCAGGGAAAACAAACAAGTAGAAGTAGTCTTGAAAAAGCCAAGTTGCAAGCAAAAGTTCCAAAAGATCCCAGAAAAGAGCAGAATGTTGTAAGAGTATTGAACTCAAAGCAATAAA